AAGAAATAAAATTATAAATGGATTTCTGATGAAGAAGAATGAAATAATAGTTTTAGAGAGATCAAACCATAACTATCTAAGTATCTAAGAGTGGAGAAACTTTGAATTGACTAGGATTAGAAACAAGACATAAGTCGAGTAGAGAAGGTAAATGATTTGGAATGTCTGGTAAACAAGTTGGAAATTTGACTATTTGTGTTTGAGATTGAGAAAGGGCAAAAGTTGGGCCTTAACGTCTGCAGAGTTACTGACACTAAAATCAATCCATTCAGTGTGATGAGCATTAAAGTCACCACCAAAAACAATATTGGCTGAAGGATATAGAGAAAGGACTTGAACAATTTGATCAGAAATAACATTGAAAAGAGTACAGTCTTTAAATGTAGGAGAACGATATAGAACGATATAGAGAAAGGTAATAGAGTAAAGTGGTGCTAAACGGAAGCACATAATAGAATAGTCTGTAAATTCAAATAAAGTTTTCAAGACAAATGTGTGAATTTTTATGAATATAGTTGCCTAGGCCAAGTATGTGACTATTGGAATCTATAAGAATTAAAGGAAGATAACCATTAAAACTAAGATCACAAGATGAGACAGCCGAATTTAAATTAGTCTTACAAAGAGCAAGTAAGTCTGGTGAACTTTGCAAGAGATAAGACTCAACAGAAAAAAACTACTTCAAAGACCACGAATATTAGTGAATGATAGATTTAGAGAAATTGGTGATGGTTTTCTGTGTTTTTAGTTTTGGTACTTATTATTAAATTTGTAGTTATTATTAAATTTGTTAAAGAAATTTACTCATAGCACAGATAGTGCCTGGTCCACTTTAATAGTCCAAGTAATTGCCTTATTACTATTACTAAACCATTGGCCGTAACAAAAGGCTCCAAATGTGGCCTTGACAATGCACAGTACGAACAGGGACACCATCCATGCGCAACATGGCACTGTTTGTTCTCTGATATTTTACAACTGATGATGGAATCAGCCTCTCTGAGACCTCCCACAAAGTTTGGGAAATCTGACTACCAGCTGGCCTTGGAACCATAAACTGAGTTTTAGAGCTGCATCATTAGCAGATAATAGAATAAGTTGCCTAGTCATAAAAACAGAGACACATGCTAAACCTAGGTATTGAGTCAAGAATATCTAACATTCAATATCCTAAACTGGAAACAATGTGTTAAATACATCTACGCCAGCCTAATAGATGAAAAAGGGGTGCGAGGTTAGTCAAAAGATAGAACCTGTAAATCCCTTAAGTCTTTGCCTAGAAGACTTTCTACAAGACAGTAACCGGGTGCATTTAATATCTACCCAAGATGAGTATTTTTATCAAGAAACCATCTCTAGCCTTTATTTAACCAAGAGTCCCAAGGCATGGGTATTTTAAGTTGGAGTTGGCTACTCCTAGCCTTTGCCTAATATATATATATATATATATATATATATATATATATATATATATATATATATATATATATATATATATATATATATATATATATATATATATATATATATATATATATATATATATAATTATAGTAAAAATTATATATATATACAAATTATTAAAAAATATATATTTTTAAACAAAAATAAACAAATAATTATAATAATTATAATAATATTAACAATAATATTAGCAATAATAGCAATAATAATAATAGCAACAAAAGCAATAATAGTAATAATAATAATAGTAATGAAGTTAACAACAATAGTAACAACAATAATAATATTAACAAATATCACATTCATATATTAAACAATTCCAATAAGTAATAATGACGGTAATAAAAATGCAAATAAAATGCAAGTAATATTAACATCACATATAATAATAATACTAATAACAATAGTAATAATAATCTATTATAAGCCTAAGATTTTAATTTGCGTATTTTTCTATCAAAAAGTCAAAAAGACGGGTTTTAAATTGTGAAAAAGTGTTGAGGGATTGAAAATGAAAAGGTAAATTATTCCATGATTTCACGCATTGGTTTGTAATAGAATTATCACCGTATTTTACCGAACAGCGATTTGGGATAGATAATTTATAGTTACTCAAAGATCGAAGGTTATAACGAGAACTTTTTTTAGTGGTAAAAAAATTGGAGAATGACGGAGGGAGGTTTACTTGTTTATGATTCCAGACAAATAGACAATTTAATAGATAAACAAGATCACATAATTTGAGTATTTTTGATAGAAAGTAAAGGATGTCAGAGTTAGAATGATACTGTTGAAAGAATATTATTTTTAAAGCTTTGTTTTGTAGGTTACATAACCTTAAAAAAGCATTAGACTTGCATTGTCCCCAAACCTGACAAGCGTATCTGAGATGAGATCCAAAAATTGCATGGTATATATTAAGTAGTGTTTCATAATTGACATAGTGGCGAATTTTGGCTAGCATCCTATTTGATCTACACAATTTTACTGCTAAGTTTTTAAGATGAGAGGAAAAGGATAGATCTGAGTCAATTTGGATTCCAAGATATTTTAATGAAAGTGAGGGAAAAATTTTTTGTCCACTTAGTCTAAAGTTTAGGTTTTTACACATTTTAGATTGATTAGATTTGAAAATAATGAGTTCAGTTTTGTTGGTATTAAGACTTAGTTTGTTAGAGCGCAGCCATTGAAGAAGGTTAGATAAATCATGGTTAATATGTTTGTTAATTTTTTTTAATGATTTGTTAGTTATGAGTAAGTTGGTGTCGTCAGCAAAATGGTAAGCCATTGAAAATTTTAGAGAGATATTAAGATCATTTATAAAAATAAGGAAAAGCAGTGGTCCTAATACAGAACCTTGGGGTACACCCGTGGAGCATTTTATTGGAAAAGATTTGGCATCATTATTGGAGACAAATTGCGATCTATTAAAAAGATATGATGAAAACCATTGGAGAGTGTTACCTTGAACACCGTAGTGTTCCAATTTACTTAAGAGGATGGAGTGATCAACAGAATCAAAGGCTTTCTCTAAGTCAAGAAACACTCCACATGCAAAAAGCTTATTGTCAAGAGCATTTCTAATAGTTTCAGTTATTTTAATAAGTGCATGAGTCGTGGAGTGTTTGTTACGAAACCCATACTGATGTTTGTAAAGACATTGGTTTTTGTCAAGAAAGCTATAAAGTCTGTTGTGCATGGCTTTTTCAAATATTTTACTTATGTTAGATAGAAGAGAAATCGGTCGATAGTTTCTGTGATCCATTAGAGAACCCTTTTTATGGATAGGAATAACTTTGGCTATCTTAAAAACATCTGGAAAAAGACCTTTATTAAAAGAATTATTTAATATGGTACAGAGAGGCTTGCAAATAACATGAGAAGCAAGTTTAAGAAGGTGTGTGGGGATACTATTTGGTCCAAAACTTTTACCATTTTGTAAACTATTCTTATTAAATTAGACACCTCATTTTCAGTCACTGGAATAAGAAAGAAAGATTTCGAATTAGCATTTTTTAAATAGTCAGAGAAGATACTTTTAGAAGAAATCATTTTACTTTTGGGTGGGTGTTGTATTGTTTCATAGTATTTGTTAAAAATGTTAGCAACAGCCATACTGTCAGAGATAGTGTAACCGTTAGACTTAAGAGAGTAAGATTTAATTGGTGTAGAGTGTTTGATATTAATAATTTCTTTTATTCTTTTCCATGTATTTTTTATATTGTTGAAGTTTTTGTTAAAGAAGGAGATGTAGTATGACTTTTTGGAAATTCTTAATAAATTGCTAATTTTATTCCTGTACAATTTAAATTTATCAAATAGTTGACTTTTTGTATTGCAATTTTTAGATTTTATATACTTTTTGTAGAGCTTATTTTTAATTGTAATTGACTTCAGAACTCCATTAGTAATCCAAGGTTTAGATTTGAGTTTAACTTGGTTTTTGGTTAGTTTTTTGTACGAGGCATGACGATCAAGAATTGTGTTGAATGTTTTTAAAAAGAAGTTCATTGATTCATTGACATCATCACCATTTCTGATATAAAACTTCCAGTCAATATTAGAAATATCCTGAATAAATTTATTATCATTGAAATTCTTAAATGATCGTTTAGTTGTTATGGATTTTTTTCTTTTGAAAGGAGTACTAGGAATGCAAACAAACTGTGCCATGTGATCTGAAATTGATATTGTTACGTTACCAGAAATAAGATTAGGAATTTGAAAATTTAAGAAGATGTTATTATTAAGAATATATATTTATACTATTAAGAAGTACATATTTAAGTAATATATATACCAGAATCTTAAAAAATCTATTTGTACTAAGTCTCTTAGAAAATAAAGACCTCAAATTTTAACTTACATATCGCCAGAGGTAGAAAAAGTAAAAAAAATTGTACTCAAGTAAAAGTACTTTTACTTGAAAATCATATGCGTTACTGAGTAAAATAATAAGAGTGACACTTTTAAATTGTTTAGAAAAAAATGTTAAAAGTTAAAAATTGTTTTTACTTGTACTACATTTTTACTTGTACTTGAGAAAAATTTTACTCAAGTACAAGTAAAAGTTACCGGTTGAAAAGTTTATTCAAGTAAAAGTCAAAAGTAGCCTATTAAAAATGTACTCAGAGTAAAAGTTACTGCGTTACTTTTTTCAGTAACAAAGTTGTCGAATAAAAAAACAAAAATCGCGTAGTCTATTCTTTTCTGTATAACTTTTTTTTTTTGGTTTTTTATGGTCGCAAAAAGTGAAGAAAAAAACAAGCTAAAACAGTTGAAAGTTGTTATGAGCGCGTTCATAACAACTTTTAACTTTTTTAACATTTTTTAACATTTAACATTTTTTTCTAAACAATTAAAAAGTGTCATTTTTATTAAAATGAGCTAAACTCAAAAATACAAAAAAATTAAATTAAGATATTTAAACAATACATAATAAATTTTTTTACTTAGTAACACATATGATTTCAAATGTAACAATAATTTAGAAAAAAAAATACTCAAGTAAAAGTAAAAGTACACATTTAAAAAAATACTTAAAAAGTAGAAATTCACAAAATAACTGCTTAATTACATTAACGTGATTAAATGTAATTTGTTACTTTCCACCTTTGCATATCACATCAACATAACATATCTCCTAATTTCCGAAAAGAATATTAAATCAATTACGAGTTCATAAAAGATTTAAGTTTTAGTCAAAACAGTTAAAAAACAATTGTAAAAGAATAGAACTCTTTGGTTCAAGGTTTATTTAAAAAAAGGCTTTAATATAATTGTCACTATACCTTTATAGCTTAGAGATATCACGGTTAAATTTTTAAAATTTAATTCAATTTACAAAGCACAAGAAAAATTAACTAAAGAAGCGCAATAAAAAAGTTTATATTTTATTCCATTATTTTAATAAGACATTATATTAATACTCAAATAGATCTTGCAAATTGCTACGTTAATTTCGAAATTTTTTATGCAAACGTCAAGATGCTTGAATAAAGAAACGTGATAGTTGCGAAGGTTTTTCTGTCATTTTTTGTGTTGCTTGCAAATTATTGGTTTGATTATATCTGGAATAAATTCAACAAAAATCTGATTATAAAACTGATAAAACTGAAGAATAAAAGAATAAAGTCTGAATAAAAATCGAGAAACAAAACCAAAACAAAAACAAAATAACAAAAAATAATAATAACTACTGAGCACTAATAACTCTGAGCAAAAGTGCAGCGTAACTTCGAAAAACTATTATCTCAATTTCACCAGTATCCAACTATTCGAAGTTTAATTACCAAAGTCTTTTTAAATGATTTTTTACTCTCCTATTTGTTATTAATTGTAGAATTGTAGATAGTAAATATTTTTCTATACGATGACATTTTCATTCACAAAGAAGAGAAATGAATGAACATAATAAAATAATAAAGAAGAAGAGAAATGAATGAACATAATAAAATAATAAAGAGAAATAAATGAACATAATAAAATAATTAAGATCATTCGTTTTTATAAAAAAACTATTTGATGTAAAAAAGTTTTTTTTATATATTGTTGTTTTATTAGAACGATTGATTATATTTTATATTATATTTGAAAAATATTAAAAAAAAAAAGCGTTAGGTTTTTTGCAAGTTGTTTTCTGTCTTTTTATCGCTAAAAACAACATTTATTATTACAATTAAAATTTTTTCTATACCTGGCATGAAGAATCAACTAAATAAACTTACAGAATAAAAAAAAATTTCATCAAGACGTAATAATTTTAATTTTTCAAAAAAAACCCCGTGCAAGACTATCTAGGCGGGCGGCCGCTAGACGCGCTACGCGGGCCCATGGCCTACTTTATAGAAGGCCTCGACACCGTGCTGGAATTTTTTTGACTGAAGGCCGATTTAAAAATAAAATGGCGGTTTATTAAAAGAGAAAAATGCTGTACAGCTTTGCTAACACTAATTATTTAATAACTAATTATTCTATTTGAAAAAATTTTAGATGCATTTTTATAAAATGAGTTTCTTGACGTTAGTTTGACAACTATTTTATAAGCTTAAATAGTTTGTAAAATTGAATAGAAACATTTTGAATCAAATTTTTGAATATACAAGCAATAATAAATAATCAGAAAAATACACCAATAACAAATCTAATTTTTTTTGTACTAAATCTTCCCAAAAAAAATTACATAAACTTGATTTCTTTTAGCTTTGCTTCTTTATTACTTTTGGGAGTGTGAAGTAATGCAAAGTTCTTTAAAAAAATGTTTGCTAGTGTTTGGCATTGTTTCTTTGCAATAGAAAAACTATACAACTCTGCAATAAAAGCAAACTGTCGTATCAGAAATGTTCTGCAAACTTTTTTATCTAATAAAGAAAAAAATATGTAAAAAAATAAAGACCACTGAGATAGAGTATCAGATGGAATAGTTAATCCTCCCCTATTTAAAGTATTCAAATAAGTTCCATATTTTTCATAATATGTAGTTGTATCTTCACCAATTTCTTCAGTAGAACACTTTTGAACATAACCAGCAATAGCATAAAAAATTTCTATACTTATACTATCTTCTAGATCTGGTAAATTGTAAATTATATAATTTTCCATATCATCTAAATCTTTAAGACATAAAAGACAGTCATGGCCATCATTTCCTTCTACTTCGATATTAAGATGTAGCACCAGCTTAGCATGTTGAATACGTACTTTTTCGAATTCGTTTACCAGATGTTGGTTTCATATATTCTGCGATTGTTGCAATAGCAAGTAACTTTTTTAAATTAATGTCATCTGAAGATCTGATTACATTACGTGACTCATCCCTAAATCTAGCATTGGCACCTGGGCATTTAACATTCACTATTTTCCGAAATTCTATAATCAACCCCAAAAAAATAATAGTACCCTTGACACTTTCTTGGTCTATTTTAGGATGAGTTTTTAAAGCTGCAACTGTCTCTTCACTAAATACTTGTAAACAAGTGCTTACTTTTTGCTGTTCTATTGGTTTAGGATTTATTGATGTTTCAGTCAATCTGGAAAACTTTATTAATTGGTTTTTTTCAAGTGTATATAAGTTAACTAAATCTCTCCAATTTGCAATGTAAGTTATCTCATTTTGAGTAAACTGTAACTGACCTAGTTTTTCTGTCAGCCAATTGTTTCTTATGCACTTTAAAAGATGGACATAGTCATATAAAATATAAGAGCCATTTTGACATAACCAAGGTTTTCCGTCTACGGTTTTGAATTTAGAAAAAAAAGCTTTGATTAACTTTATTTCCATCTGTAATAATTGCAATAACTTTACCATTACTCATAGAACTTTCTATGGTGTCTACAATTAATTTGCACTGTTCTTGTTGGAAATCTGATGTCAGATTACTAACTGGTAAAACTCTTGCTAGAAATTCAGGTCCACCATAAAGGCTTTTTACCATGAATGAAAGTACAGTAGTAGCTAATTTCTCTGGATTATTAACAGCTTTTCCAAAAATACTTCCACTTTGATATAATAATGCTGCTTTTACATAAACTTCATCTATCAATAAAACACAATTTCTTTTTTTTTCATCAAGGTTCGATAACACAGAACTTAAAAAAGTTAAATCATCTCGAGAGTTTATTTTTGAAGTTATGCGTGTCAAAGTTCGAATACTTGGCAACTGATAATCATAACATAATCAATGGTAAGTGGAACAACTTGTTGCAAAATATTCAAAAGCTCTGGTTATTATATCTGGAGAATACACAGCACAGCCAACAGTATGATCTCCCATTACATTTAAATGCTCAAACATTACTTGAGTTTTATGATCCTTATCTTCAACTTTCAGATTATTAAGGGCTTCATTTAAAGATGACTTTGTACAAAGGGAAGTGATTCAGTTATTTGCCAGAGATTTAATAGTACATTTTGAACTAAAATGAAATGCTTCAAACGACAAACTTTGATTAATTATTAGCAAAAATAGTGGAACACCACAATTAAATATTTTAGATTGGATGAAAATTGAATTATTTTGCTTGTATGAAATCAAATCATTATAAGTTGATGTGTTTTTCGATTTCTTCAAAATTTAAATTATCAATTATTTTATATTCTTCTAATTCATCTTTTCTGATACCTCTTTTTGAAGAAGAAGATAAAGTCTTTCTCGTTTTAGGTGGTGGAGAAGATAGACAACTTTTAGATATATTTGGAAACACTGATGGGTCTCAATTTACCACGACATAATTTAAACTCTGCATCATCTGGCCAATGCAATTTACAAACAACGGTGTATTTTGTTACGGTCCAATTTAAACGAGGGATGCTCATAAACCATTTAGTTTTTTCACATACTTCACGAGGGAATTTATACACAGATACATTACAAGCTGAAGACTTATAATTTGAGGAACAGTTTGGAACACAACATTTTAAAGGCATTCTAAATAATTTAAATTAAATTTACTTGAAGAATAGCTGTAAATTTTTCTGAAAAAATGTAACTAATATTTTACTCCTTTTCCAACCAAAAAATGCGTTTGTTTGTTAGTTTTAAATCGGCCTTCAGTCAAAAAAATTCCCGCACGGTGTCAAGGCCTTCTATAAAGTAGGCCATGCGCGGGCCGTATAAATAGCCTGCGGTAAAATTAGCCCGCAGTTTAGACGGGCTATTTATAGCTCGTGTACTCATTTACTTCTGCCGAAGCCTGCATATATATATACAAAATAAAACATGAATTTTGAATTAAAAAAATATACTTTAGGAAGTTTAAATGTTTATGCAGACCCGGTCACAAATCTGCCCCTGCCCTAGATATATTTTATCAAACCCGGCCCTGGCCCCGGTCGCTTACTACAAGTGATACCTCACACTGCTAAAACAAACTACCTACTAAATAAATTCTAAGTTTCCAAAGCTTTTAACTAATTTGGCAACTAAAACATTATCTACACTAATGTACCTGACACTAATACACTATCATATTTAGTTTTGACATTTAATGTTACTGAATCCATCTTTACCATTTTTAGTATAACATGTGTTTTGATTAATAGATAATTACTAGAAAAAGGATAATATTAATAAGTAAAAGTGAAAATGATGTTCATCTTTGGTGGTTATCAAAATCTGAGATATATCCCTATATCTCAGATTTTGCTGAGAGTACTTGGTAAAATAAGAATTCCTTGAATTCCATTTTACTTTTAACAGAGGTTGGCCAGGCTCCTCATAAATGCAACGTTTATCTAAAGGTTTCAAGTTACGTAACTTTAAAAATATTTAATCTTCTTACTTAAAAATTTGTACCTGGCTATTTTCAGGGGTGGCAAATGCAATGAAATGATCAAAAATGTAAAAAATTATTTTTTAGTACCTGTAT